GAGGGATTAATCTGACTAACATAGCATCTAAAATACTAGCCTCAATAATTATCAGGAGCCTAACTAAGACTCGTGAACTGCAAACACGAGAAAATCAGGCTGGCTTCAGACCTGGTCGTGGCTGTATCGACCACATATTCACCATTCGTCAAGTTTTAGAGCACAGATACGCTTATCGGCGTCCGACAATGATAGTTTTTCTTGACTTGAAAGCAGCATTTGACTCTGTAGACCGAGAGGTTCTGTGGCAGTGTCTGTCATTAAAAGGTGTACCTGAGAAGTACATAAACTTGTGAAGGCTCTTTACTCGAACACTACCAGTCGAGTGAGAGCTTATGGCGAACTGTCATATGATTTTACAACCTCAAGTGGTATCCATCAAGGTTGTCCACTATCCCCATTTTTGTTTAACTTCATTATAGACCTGTTGCTGGAAATAACACTCTCGTCGACTGAATTTTCAGGAATTGATTTCCTACCAGGAGGATTGCTTATCAACTTAGAATACACAGATGACATATTCCTGTTTGGTGAAGACACTGACAAAATACAGTCTTCTGTTAGAACTGAGTAAAAATGCCAGGATGTTTGGGATGCGTTTCTCCCCATCCAAATGTAAATTGTTACTCCAGGGCTGGCCTGCGTCAACACCTGAACTAAGGATAGGGAGTGAAGTAGTCGAACGCGTGGACAACTGCACTTATCTTGGAAGTCAGATCAGTCCTAATGGGTTGGTGTGTGACGAAATCTCAGCACGGATTCAAAAAGCTCGTTTGGCTTTTGCCAACCTACGTCACCTATGGCGAAGACGAGATATCCGTCTATCAACTAAGGGACGAGTATACTGCGCAACAGTTCGCAGTGTTCTACTTTACGGCTGTGAAACATGGCCATTAGGAGTAAAGCAAACACGTAAGTTACTAATGTTTGATCATTGACGTTTTAGAAATATTGCTCGCATCTTCTGGGATAACCGGGTAAGTAATAATGAGGTTAGACAAAGGGTATTAGGGAATGATGGTAAATCAGTTGATGAGGTGATGAATCTTCATCGACTGAGATGGTTGGGCCAACTTTGCCATCGACGACATCCTAGAAAGAGCTCTGGTGGATGTAAGTAATGGCGGTGTGGATATGTTGCCTGGAGAACGACTTCTCGACCTTGAGTATGCGGATGATATTGTCTTACTGTGCGATAATGCCCAAGGCATGCAATCAGCACTTAATCAGTTGGCAATCAGTGTCCGCAGGTACGGCATGTGCTTTGCACCCTCCAAGTGCAAAGTACTTCTGCAAGACTGGCAGGATTCTAATCCTGTACTCACCCTGGATGGTGAGCAGATCGAAGTAGTTGAGAAGTTCGTGTATCTAGGTAGCTATATAAGTGCTGGTGGTGGCGTGAGTGATGAGATTGATGCACGTATAAGGAAAGCCAGATCGGCTTATGCCAATCTGGGCCATCTTTGGCGCCTTCGTGATGTTAGTCTGGCTGTAAAAAGTCGGATTTACAACGCGTCGGTGAGAGCAGTTTTGCTCTATGCTTGTGAAACCTGGCCTCTCCGAGTTGAGGATGTTAGACATCTCTCTGTGTTCGATCATCGTTGTCTCCGAAGGATTGCTGACATACAGTGGCAACACCATGTTAGTAATGCAGAGGTTCGGCATCGTGTGTTCGGGCACAGAGACGATAATTCAATTGGTGTCACCATCTTGAAACACCGACTTCGGTGGCTTGGACATGTTTTACGAATGTCGTCCCAGAGACTTCCACGTCGTGCATTATTTGCCGACCCTGGGACTGGTTGGAAAAAGCGGAGAGGAGGTCAGTGTATGACATGGTGTCGTGGCATGAAAGAGAGCTGCAAAGGGCTAGCTTCTGTTGGTCCTACACGACTCCTTGGTTGGGGTCCGAGAGATGGTGCAACACAGTGGCTAGAGACGTTATCAGATATGGCTCAGAATAGAAGCCAGTGGCGATCCTGCTGCAACCTTCTTTTACTTTCTACATAAAGTATGGTTCTTACTTTCCTATTTGAAAGAGTCTTCTGGTTGTACATTTTAGTCCGCCTTATCTTTTCATCCCTTCTCTTCCTACTTTCATTATTTTGTGTGGCGCATATGTACCTGGTGCCCTTTTGTACCAATATATATGTGTTTAAATAAATAAATAAATAAAACGTGTTACGTATGTCTGAACACCGACTACCACGACGCGCAGTGGTGACTAGTGTTGGAGACGGATAGAAGAAAGTAAGAAGAGGCAAAAATCAAATCACTAACTTCTAGTCTGAGCCATGTTAGTAGATGCAGAATACTTGACTGAGGTCCACGTGGCTAGCGTACCCAGGAGTTGGAGACTCTGAAAGATATGGCTCAGAATCGATCACAATGGCGTAGATGTATACGCACGTCGTCTTCCCTTAAACTGTAACATAAACATCCCTCTACACCTTTCATTCTACGAACTAATCATATCTCGCCGAACCATATCCTTATATGCAAACATTTTTATATATAACTACCACTGAAAGAACTAGGTTTATTTTTTTATACACATTATTATTTATCTATTTATAAACATAAATATTGGTACAAATAGGTACCAGTTACATATGCGCCACATAAACCAAATGAGATTTGCGTGAGGGCTGTGATACTGCACAGGTGCCCAAACTGAAGCAAGTGAATTTTTTAGGGGGCCACACCCGGAGCCTTTGACCTAAGGGTCTGATCTAAAAGGCAGTGAAGCATCGTGAGGCGATGCATTCCCTTGGTAGCCGGTGACCGACAAATGGTTCATACGCCCCCAAATGCCCTGGTACGGCCGAGAGTGGGGAGAGTCTGCTCTCCCTCTCCAAATGCTCTCACATGGCCACGCGAATATATAGCCTCTGTCAGGGAAGTCCTACTCACTGCCTTCTCGTGGCGGGGGTGTTGTTCACAAAAGTGAGAGGACGAAAAGCGAATGTTCGGCGCTTTAACCGGGTTGGTGGATGTGGAGGATCCACCTACGGGAGTTGGAAAACCCTGATTCCAAACCAGTGGTGCACATGGGCTCCAGTATCCTGAGGGAACAAATGGCGTACGAATCAACCGTTGATCACCGGCTACCATGGGACTGCATCTCCTTACGATGCTCCACTGCCTTGTGGATCAGACATTCAGGTCAAAGGCTCCGGGTGTGGCCCCCTAAGAAAACCACCTGCTTCAGTCTGAGCACCTGGGCAGTATATCAGCCCTCACACAAATCGAATGAGATTTGTGAGGCGCATATTTATCTGGTGCTTCCTTGTACCAATATTTATGTGTTTAAAAAAATAAATAAAAATAAACATTTGTTCCTTCAGGATACAGGAGCCTATGTGCATCATTGGTTTGGAATCAGGGTTTTCCAACTCCCCTAGGTGGACTTTCCGTGTCCACCAACCCGGTTAAAGCGCCGGACATTCGCTTTTTGTCCTCCCAATTTCGTAAACAACACCCCCGCCACGAGAAGGCAGTGAGTAGGACATCCCTGGCAGAGGCAATATTACGCATGACCATGTGAGAGTATTTCGAGAGGGAGAGCAGACTCTCCCCACTCTCGGCCATACCAGGGTATTTGGGACTTCCCTGGCAGAGGCTGTGTACCAGGTTGTAGATGACTGACTGACGAAAGGCAGTTGACATATGACAGTCTAACTTGTCCAAAACAATTGTGTTCGTACATCAGAAGAAAGCATAGTGATGGTATTCCTCTATTACTGCTGCGCAGAAATCCAGATATAGTAGCTGAATCAGATCTAGCCAACGCTGGGACCCCATCAAACTACTTCAGCGAATGCCGCTGTACGGGTATTATTAACAATACTTATCATAACCACACCACTGAGATACTAGCTATAGGACCCGTATATTCGAGTGAGGGGATTGTTCCCTAATTGATTATCAACCTCATGCCTAGTAATACACAGGTCACTTCGCCAATTATTCAAATTCTTTTACCAGATGTTTCGAATTTTATATACCATTTATGTAAGACTACACTTAGAGTACTGTGTCAAAGCAGCCAGTCCATGTCCTGTTAAGGATAATAACAAACTCGAATATGTGGGAACAAAATAAGTCAAGGGTCTTTCAAAATTTTCTTACAACGAGCATTCAAAATGTCTGAACCTTTCCCCCTTGTTGTATTATAGAACCCAAAGTGACCTTATATTAGCATTTCGTACTTATAATTACGATTTCGGTGTGAATATGTATTATCTTTTCGCTCTCTACAGAACTAATAATCTTCGAGTTCATAGAAAGAAGGTCCGAAAACTGCAACCTAATAAGCCAAGAGCGGAGTTCCGTCTTTACCCTCGAGTAGTCAATGACTGAAACGTCTTACCCGAACAAGTGGTATGAGCCTTATCAGTGAACATTTTCAAGGATAAACTGGACATTTACTGGAAAAAAATCTTCGAGGATTAACGCAGGTCCACAAACCTACTATCCTTATTACTGAATAATGACTTACTAGAGACACAAAATTGACGTTGGAGATTTGCTTATTCACTCAGGTCATTAGCTATAAACTATATATTAAAATGATAATCGCATGAAACTAATGTTTGGTGTGTAAATTGGAGGACTTCAATTGCTCTCAATTTACAGGTTTTGGGGAAATATTAGAGTTGCCCCCAAAGGCATGTGAAAATTCATGGTTTTCACCAGTTAAGGGAAATTCGAGGGCAAAACCCCATAGTAATCTGAATGCAGGTTATTTCCCCAAATTCAGTGTATGTCGTTTTCCAGAGTTGGGGAAACTATGGAGGAATATAGAGGAAAACCACGAAAGCCCCGAAAACGTCTTGGAGGATTGTGGGAAAAACAGAGGATCAGGGGCAATCTTAAGGGTTTCGTTGCATTCCAGTAAAATATCTTCAAGATCAGGGACTCGCAGTTAACTTCAATAGGCCAAAGTTTCGGAAAGGCGAATGTACATTAATACTATACAAGGGATATTTATGACTTACATTCGTTTCCTTTTTTCCAAAGTGTGAGGCGGCTTGACGGGATTACTAATGCCATGTAAGTTTGGCTTAAGTTCCCCCATGAAGTTGAAAACATTTGTCTTAATATTGTCAGAATAGAATGAACTGTCGACGACGCTATCACCAAAGTACTGTCGTCCAACAGAACCACCGAAACCCTGGTTGTCTTCAACCATGAGCAATCAGCTGTCACGAATAATCCCAACGGTAACACAAGTAACGTATGTATTCCAATATGTTACGTGTCCAATGTTCTTGTGACGATATGTTATAAATGGTGGAGAAGATTTGTAGCTCAGGTGGGTGATTTTGATGTTAATTTGTTCTCTGAGCTGGATGGTTTGGTCGTGGAGCTTTCATCGTCCTTCTGAACAAGATCATCAGCAAAAACTTCGGGAATGTGAAATTTAACTTACTCGTGTAGACAGTTTGGTAAAAGTTTCAGTAGCTGATAACTTTGTTATCGGCTTTATGTTTCTATTCATCTAGTGCTCAACCTAGACGTGGATATTACGTGTGCATATATTTGATTGTTTAACCTCCTCACGGTACAGTTTGCTGAACTTCCTGTCATTGCTTATTTAAAAATAACTTGTAAGAATGTTTGAATTTTACATATATGTTGTTTCATTTAAAACCTTGGTCATATTCTGTGCCAAATATTTGTCGTCAAGAGTGAGGATACGACTAATGTTCTAATTTGACAATTAGCTACCAGTAGCACCTTCTATAACGAAACTTTCTTGGCCAAGGGAAATCAGAAGTCAGACGAGAAGAGGTAGGAAAGATATATTTGATACGTTATCAATATATCGAGGAACGTTTATTCTAAGCTAGCTAGTGAACGTAGGAGCAGTCTCCCACGCCGAGTTGAAACGTGATCTGGTACGGATTCATGACCGAAAGCCTTCAGTTAAACAAGTCCACTTAAACAACATGGTCAGCATCCAATGTCGAACACTTAATGAACTATTGATTTTGGGGAATTATTTACAGCTACAGATCACTCCCCCCCCCTATTGAGCTAGTGATGCCCCTAAGACGTGAACAGCCAGAAGTTTAAACCAAACGAGTTTGTCGTTGGTAAACACTCTTCTGATAGCTTGCTTCGTTTAGCAGCATCTGGTCGTCTTTCCTTAAACTATGGGACCAAAATGTACAACATAGCAATCAAGAAATATAGTACAATGAAAATTTCGGTTCCTTGCGAAACTTCGTCGTTCTTTTCCAGCCGTCCTGGAAAAGAGAAAAAAATAGAACGTGTGAGTGCATGTCGGAAATACACTCGTACTTGCTTTAGGACACAAGATGAGCGGAAAAAAAAACTAATACACTTACCAACAGCGTAAAAGCGATCGGGAAAAAAATGTTTTTTGTTTTGTTTTCTATATAAAAAATATAAATACGCTCAAAAAATAATAATGTTTTTTTTAAATAAATGATAAAAATGAGCATATTAAAAAAAATTATTTTTTACAATAAATAATGAACAGGGGGTGCGAGATTAAGTTTGTGTCCTACGTGCAATAGCCGTTATAATGTTCTGGAAATTTTACTCTCCTTCCAGAACGCGTTGTTTTAGGTTTTTCTATCGACGTTGACGAAGTATCAAGTTGTGTGTCGGTTGTCGTGTAGGGTACTACTAATGTAGTAGCTGTGTCGTTTGCTTGTACCGAAGGAAAATCGACGTAGCTAGGGTTTCCTTCTAAATACGCTGATTTTAAGCGATCGATACTGGTGCTATCGTTCGTGCCGTTCTTATCGACTACATGGTATTTGTGTTCACGTTCAAGAACTTTGAAGGGTCCTTCGTTTGCTGATTCGAGGGGTCGTCGATGTGAGTCTCGACGAACGAAGACGTGTGTACTATGTCGTAATTCAGGCTGAACCGAAACATCAGTTGATTGAGGTCGAGTGTGAGCAGGTTTAACTGAACGCGTAGCGTTTGAAAGCCTACTCATGTAAGAGTTTAGATCCATGTTCAATGGAGAAGCTGAAGGATCTACGAATTCTCCTGGAAGTCGGAGTGTCGTTCCGTAAACGAGTTGAATTGCCGTGTATCCAATGTCAGCTTTCACTGCATTGCGGATACCTAGCAAGACGAGTGGAAGAGCGTCTGTCCACTGTGAAACGTTCGCAGCTGATAATGAAGCTTTAAGTTGTCGACAAAAACGTTTTACCAACCCATTTGCTTGTGGGTGGTAGGCGGTCGTTCGGATGCACGTGATTCCTAAAAGTGAGGTCAGACAACGGAAAAGTCCAGATTCGAATTGGCGTCCGCGGTCTGTAGTGATTGTGGAAGGGCAGCCGAAATTTGCTACCCATCGTTCGACGAAAGCGCGAGCCACTGTTTCAGCAGTAATATCCTTAATTGGTACTGCTTCTGGCCATCGAGTAAAACGGTCTACGCATGTTAAGAGATATGAGTATCCGTTTGAATCGGGTAAGGGTCCTACCAAATCTAGATGAACGTGTTCGAAACGAGTATCATGGGTTTTGAACGAGCCCAAGGGACATTTGTTGTCTGATTACCCTAGATTTCTGACGGCTTACACAGTAGCGTGCCCACTCCCTCACTTCTTTATTCATGCCAGGCCAACAAAAGCGTTCGGCTATAAGTTCGATTGTTGCACGAATACGTGGATGAGAAAGCTTGTGCAACGTATTGAAGACGTTGCATCGATAATTTTCTGGTACTATTGGACGATCCCTACCTGTAGATGTGTCGCAAAGTAAGGTTTCCTTACCTGTTCCCATCTGCTTAATACTTAGTTTTAGAGTTGTCGAGGATAACTCATGCTGAAGATCAATGTCTTCTTTTTGAAGCTGAGCGAGTTTAGGAAGGTCGATTCCTTGGAAACTGTTCAAGGAACTTATTCGAGACAAGGCGTCTGCGACTACATTGTTAGCTCCAGAAATATGTTGTTTGTCTGAAGTAAACTGCGAAATGTAGTCGAGTTGTCGAGACTCTCGCGGTGAGTACTTGTCTGAAGATGAACTTAAAGAGAAGGTAAGAGGTTTATGATCGGTAAAAAGCGTGAATTCTCTTCCTTCGATAGAATGTTGGAAATGCCGTACAGCACAATACATAGCTAGGAGTTCCCTACCGAACGTGCTGTACCTAGATTCCGCGTCTAGCAACCGTCTCGAGAAAAATCCTACAGGTTGCCAAGAGTTGTTAACCCATTGTTGTAAGACTCCTCCGATTGCTGAGTCGGATGCGTCTACTGCGATACTAATGGGCGCTTGAGTGTCCTGATGAGCAAGCAGGGTTGCTTTAGCGATGTGTTCCTTAACTGTGGAGAATGCTTTACGGGCTATGTCGTCTAAACTAATTGATTTTGCATTTCCACGAAGCTGATCGGTTAACGGTTTCATAAGAGATGCGCATTTAGGTATGAACCATCTGTAGAAACTTACAAGTTCGTTGAAAGTTCGCAACTGCCTGATCGTGGTCGGTTCTGTGTAATCCAGAATGGCCGCTACTTTGCTCCTAAGGGGTCGGATGCCTTGGGCATCAATGGTGTGTCCTAAGAAGTCTAAAGAGTTTGTTCCGATTTGGCATTTCTGAGTGTTGACAGTAATGCCATGCTTTTGGAGTCGATAGAAAACAATGTTCATATGCTTGAGATGTGATTCTCTGTTCGGACTTGCTATAAGGCAGTCATCAACATACGCATGTACGAAGTTGAGACCTCGGAAGACGTCGTCTATAAACCTTTGGAAGGTTTGAGCCGCATTTCTTAAACCAAAAGGCATTCGCAAGAATCCGTGAAGACCGAAGGGAGTGATGATGGCGGTTTTAGGAATGTCGTCAGGAGCCATCGGAATTTGATTGTAAGCCCTAACTAAGTCGATTTTCGAAAAGACAGTTGTACCTTTCAAGGTAGCTGTCAAATCGTGAGTGTGAGGCAACGGGTAACGATCGGGAATGGTATTAGCATTCAGACGCCGCTAATTACCAGTTGGCCGCCAATCATTGCAGTCCTTTTTAAGGACCATGTGCAATGGAGATGACCATGAACTATTTGATGGTCGAATTATCCCTAAGTCTATCATATGGTCGAATTCATTTTTAGGTAACGTAAGCTTTTCGGGAGCAAGTCGGCGGGCTTTCGATAATACAGGTGGTCCTGTAGTCGAGATGTGATGTGTAACATTGCTGGTTACACAAGGCAATTTCGATTGCGGTTGGTATATCCCGGAGTATTTGTCGAGTAGTGATTGGTACAATGGGTCTATGGCGTGCTTAATCGTGACTGGGGATAACCTGCAACCAGAAAAAGGAGTTACGCTAACAGATAACTTAGTGTTTCCGTCTATTAACTTTCGTGAGCGTGTGTCGATGAGTAGATTGCGGTATTGTAACAGGTCTATACCAATGATTAGCATATAGACATCCGCAACCACGAAAATCCAGTGTATGTGTTTGCGTAAACCCACGTTAAGGCAGACGTACCTTTTACCGTAAGTAGCGATCGGCTTTCCGTTTGCCGCCTGTAAACTTAAAACAGACTCGCGAAGTCTGTCGTCGGGATTTGCTGGAAGAACGCTAACTTCTGCCCCGGTGTAGAAGAGATAGTGAACCTTCTTAATCACATCCGAGACGTATAACAGACGTCAGTCGCCTTAGACTTCGGGTAATTGCAGGGCTTCCTGCATTTTCTGGAAAACTTACCGTACTGGTTGTGATACCAGCACCAGGCGGGGCTGTCTGTCTCTCGTGCTCGAGAGGTAGATCGCTTACGTGAAACGCTCCTACGTGGGGATTTTGACCGACTACGGTCATTAGGAAATCGAAGATGACGTGTCAGTGTATGACATAGTTTGGTAATGTCATTTGGGGTCGTTTGAGGTTTTTCTTTGTCTGAAAAGACCTCAGCATTAGTAGATTTTGTGATTTCTAAGATGCGGTCGGCAGATGCAGCCAACTCGTCTACGGTGTTGTTTTGAAACGAGGCGAGAACTGCTTGCACCTCTTAAGGAAGTTTAGACAAGAAAAGTGTTCTGAATAGGCCATCATCGAATGTTTGTTGGTCGATAACGTCCCTCATTCTTAGCAACATGTCTGTCGCAGAACCATTTTGTAGGTCGATATCGTTAAGGAGTTGGTCTAACTGTTGTCGATTAGTTAGGTCTCCGCGTCTTAAAATCGACCGATTGAGAGTTTCTTAAGGTTTCGGAACATCACAAGTAATCATACTAAGTGTTACGTACCTGCTAAATTCG